TATTTGTGTCTGCTATGTTTAAACCAGCACACCATCCAAATTGTTAGAACTGTGGTCGATGCTACAGCAATTGAGAAAGGCAGAGGTATCGCTGAGTGATTCATGTCCCTGCTTTCCTTGCTTGTACCGAATGAATTGGCTCCCAGGTGTAATTAGAGGTTGAAAGAAATTAAAGCCCAGCTAAATGTTCATGGGTTCTGATTTTCACATTGAAAACCAATGTGGCATCATCAACTAATGTGCAGTAGTTTTATAAGGTGGCCTGCGAACATGCAGGGAAGTCCTAGTTGCCTGACATCCTGGTACAACAACAAAAATGTCTTGACCACAGAATGCTGGGGTCCACAAATAATATCAGGGTTCCACAGCATCCTTTGGGGCAGTGAAAAAAGCAGAGAGGAACAAGCTGTAGTCTCCAACTTCTTGCTGGAGAAATGTCTAGCCAGATAAGGGGGAAATGAATGAGCTAAAAGGAAAGATGGAGATTCCAAAAGTAATGGGTCTGGTGCATGTTGGAGTGGGGGAAATTCCAGGAGGTGGTGGAGAACTCTGTCACTGGTTGCTGGTGTTGAACTCAGTCCTTATTACTGTGATATTTTGGGATGGAAGACTTCCCTGCACTGAAGAGCACAGCACTAAATTCAGAGAGGTGAACCACTGAGCTAAAGGGCGAAAAGGAGAGCATGCTCATTTTATTGGCCCGAAGCAGACCAAGTAAGGTCATCTGCAAAGCCAGTTGCATGAATATAGATTATAGAGTTGTAGAGTTGTAAGGAACCTCAGGTTATCTGCAACAACCCCCTGCAATGTAGGAAACTTTTGAAACGGTGGCTGGTGGCGGTTGTTACTGCGCACAAGAACATCATGTATAAACAGATAAGGTCCCCCCCTTCAGATCAACTTCTATTCATATGAACCCCACCCCCTAGATATTTTCAATTAAAAATTAAGTGGCCAGACGACAGTCCTAAGGGAATCAACCGTTCAACATCATCCAGGTAGTATCATGTCTGTCAATCATATCCAGCAGTAAACACATCCACTTTCCTCTCAAAGGCTTTGCATGAATTCCTGACTTCAAAACCATGTACATAGTTACTGATGGATTATATTATGGCTACATTGACACCATATATTTAAAGCACATTTATATCACTTTCACAGTCATGTCTCCTTCCACAAAGATTATTGAAAACTGTAGTTTAGCACTCTCAGAGCTACAGTTCCCAGCACCTTTAACAAAAGGCAATGAGGGCGTTGAAGAGTAGCTTACAATGTATAGGGAAGCATGAATCCATCAATTTTGGGACTCTCAGTTTCTGTTTTTCCCCCAGTATAAAAATCAGTTCTTGTATTTTTGCAGCCATTTACAATTAAAAACTAAACAAGTAAAAGAAGGAAATTTCACCAGCATTTTAGCATGAAATTTTCTTGTAAAACACAATTTTGTATGCAGTTTTGACTAATATAAATATTTTTGAAAGTACTTTCTCTTAACATGGTGCATTCTTGTATGTTGTATGAATTTCAGTATACATATTACCCTAGTATATGCAGTTTTTATGTGCACATTACTGTTTGCACATGTTGCGTGGCTGCAGAGCTGCCCTGCAAAATTCAGAGAAGTGCAAATTTTTCAGTTCACATGAGAAGGGCAAATTAGATAGTTTCTCATTAAAATGCAAGCTAGATTGAATTTAATCTCCTGTCTCTAACCATGCCACACACATGCCCTGTGTCTCCTAACCTGTAGACCAACAGTGAAAACACAACAGCAGATCATGGCCAGACACTACCATGACCTATAGTTGGGCCCAGGACAAACAATCCACAGAGGTGATGGAGGCACCTGGGATTGTTGCTAAAGAGGGGCAAAACTTAACTAAACTAAACCTCTTCCACCAACTGTGTTGAAATAAGATTCAATGTTGGTGATTAATGTGATGCAGAAACTGGAGCAGGGGGAATTAATCTTGTTCTTTTGAGGCAACAAAATGTCTTAGGCTGGCCTTGGTTCCATTACCCTTTGCTGGCTAAAAGAACGAACTACACACATCCAGCCTCTGGTCTGCCATATGACAGTAACCGATTGAATGATGCTCCCTGGCCGTATAGGATGGGGTCTGTTCTTCTTGTGCATAGATTGTCTCTGCCTTCAACAGCTTGGGAACCACATCAGATAGATGCATATTTATGGGCGACTCTTGAGCAACTTTCTTTCAGAAAACATGCACAGTGTACCGCTGTTGCCACTGCCCATCTAAATCACAGGGGCAGCCGAATGCTCCCAGTGCATCCCTTTCTTCTGCTGAATTTCAGTTGCTTCAGGCGGTAAGCTTTGACAGGCAGTCAACTTTTGTATCAGACCCTCCCCATAGGTAAAGGGAGGGGGTAAGCTTCTATTATTTTTATTTTGCTTTTCCTCTTGACAGTCATCTCTCTCTCTCTCTTCCCTCCCTTCTACACCTTATTGAACAACTAAAAATGCAGGGAAGCAAAAATGCAAAGCAAACACGGAGCAGTCGGTGCCACAAGAGGCCCAGTGGGCTTTCTACTTTGTCAAAAGCTGCCAGATGTAAAGAGAACTATTTAAACGGTGTCAGTCTACAAGCTTCCTGTAGTGACACCAGGAGCAATGTGAAAATCTATATCGGTGGTGTCAAGCTTCTTTTATCTGAACTTGAACAACACCTGCCACATGAGTAATATTCCAGAGATAAAAATAAAAAGTTAATAGCATTATGGAATCAGATGGCAAAATCCTTCATTTTCTTCATTTACATTTTAAAAAATATTTTTTACATCCCATGGATTAAATTGTGTACCAAGCTATCATGAAAAGTCAAAACATAGAAACAAGAATTGTGGGGTGCGTTTGTATGTGTGTGGAGAAAAAAATAGAGCACTGTGATAACAAAATTCATACTGCTGCTTCTTATATTCACACACGCATGCCCCTCATCTGATAAAATTATAATCAGGTGGTCAGTTACATATGTTAATGGACCAGATTTACTTTTTTTTAAAAAAATATTTTTTATTAACCGACCAATCAAATCAAATCAAATCAAATCATATAAATTCCGAATTACAAAGCCGAATTTTAAATTTTTGTTGAGGGGACCCATATTTCAAGTTCCGAAGGGGGATTCTGATCATCTTCTTGCTGCTGCGTTAATATCCACAAATCAATCCAAATAATGTTCATAATTCTATCCAGTCTTATCTTGCTGTTTCCACATCTCATCTTATTTGTACATTTTTCCTTCTTTGCTTTACGATCTCTTCTGATAATCTTCTTAAACTCACAAACACCAATTATAATCCTGTGTAAATTTTCCATTCGACCAGTCCTCATATCAGATGGTTTCCATATATCATCACTTTCATAAATAACATCACTCTTTCCATCATTAACACGTAGATCTGTCACTCTTAAGTCCCTCTGAGGAGTATCACCCACAATATAACAACAGCTCTGTTCCTCCTCCCAGACTTAAGTCCTCCGACAGAACTAGCCAACATGGCGACGGTATTTTTTACTGCGTCATTCCAAAGCTCTTATAATTTTCACGGTCTTCTTGAAACATGCTTTGGTTAGTGAATTATCTCCACACAGTCTTAAATCCACAGCTTAAGTCATTAAAACGACATTTCTGACTTGTGAGGGGGGGGATTCTTGTTTAATCACATAGAGGAAAGAAAGGAAAGTTTTTTTCCCCCTACCCCATCAGTCCCTTTGCCATACCGAGTCTTGGTGTATCTTCTCATGGTTTACTCTTGTTCCTCCGACTCGTCTTGTTTTATCAGAGATCTCTTCTTTTAGCAGTCTTTACTCCCCCTCCTTCCTTGAAATATGTGCATTTGCTTCATTCTAATTGTTTCTTTTGAAGTTCTTGCAGCTAGCGGCGCGGATCAGAGACGGCGTCCAGGAGTGCTGAAATCCCACAGGAGGGCATTGTGCCTAGTGCCCCCATCCCCACAAATTCGGGGGTGGTATAGGGCACAGCAGGCAAGGGCAGCACCCCCCAACCTTGGGGGGGGGTAGGGAGGCTATTTTACTCCCATCACAGCCTCCTAATTACCTCGTGTGGGTCGGAGAGATGTTATTGTCAGCCATCTTCCGATGCGCCCCTAGTGGCCCCTGTAAATGGACCAGATTTACAGCAGAATCACTTCAGAGTGCAAATGGAAAATTCCAATTGTGAACGCTCCTTTCCCACTTTTTTTTTTTTTAAAAAAAACCTCCCTGCAGTTTATTTATTTGGAAAATCTAGTACATCAGGGAGAAAGGGTCTAACCTTTCCTGCTCCTTGCTATTCTAGTTTTCTACTTGCAGGGGTTTTTTACAGAATGATTTGTTTCCAAAGTTTAACGAAACATTTGGGAAGCTAATACTTTGCAACCTTGAAATGAGTATTAGCAATTTCTACTGGCTTGAGCATAGTGTCCATATTTAACAGCTTGTGGTACCAATCATTCATGCCCTGGCATACTGAAGGTCTTTTCATCCTGAGCCAAAGCTCCTGTAGAAAAATCACATCAAGCTGTGATAGTTTGTCCCTAAACTCCCTATCAAGCACTCTCCTTTTATATCCAGCAAATTGCACGAAACAGTCTTGAACATAAGTAGAGTCCTGCTGGATTAGACTGAACATGCAACCAGTCAGGCTCCATCCTTCTAACAGTGACCAGCCAAATGCCTCTGGGGAGTTGAACAAGCAGGTGACAACATGTAAATGGTTTTCTATTTGTAATGCACTCAAGAAACCACCTTGGCAATTAAGCAGTTTAATATTGTTGTTGTTGATGATGATGATAGGATCATTCTCTTATTGCGTGTCCCTGGTATCTGGCATTCAGACGTATACTGAAGACAAACTGGAACAAGATGATTGTGATTATTCCCCATGGGGTACTCTCAAGGGCCAGGATCTCAGCAAGTCAAGATCAAGCACAGAAAATCAGTCTAGGTCCAAACCATGACCCAGAAGTGATCAAGGCTGATTAGCTCAGTTGGTTAGAGCATTGTGCTAATAATGCCAAGGTCATGGGTTCAATCCTATTTATTTATTTATTATTTATTAATTTATTTATTTATTTATACCCCGCCCATCTGGCTGGGTTTCCCCAGACACTCTGGGTGACTTCCAACAGGATATTAAAAACACGATAAAACATCAAACATTAAAAACTTCCCTAAACCGGGCTGCCTCCAGATGTCTTCTAAAAGTCAGGTAGTTGTTCTTCTCTTTGACATCTGATGGGAGGGCGTTCCACAGGACAGGCGCCACTATCGAGAAGCCCCTCTGCCTGGTTCCCTGTAACCTCACTTCTCGCCATGAGGGAACCACCAGAAGGCCCTTGGAGCTGGACCTCAGTGTCCGGGCTGAACAATGGGGGTGGAGACGCTCCTTCAGGTATACTAGGCCGAGGGTGTTTAGGGCTTTAAAAGTCAGCATATGGGCCAACTGCCTTTCTTACGGCCTGACTGGATAGCTCGGTTGGTTACAGCATGGTGCTAATAACACCAAAGTTGCAGGTTCAAACCCCCGTAAGGGACAGCTGTATACTTCTGCATTGCAGGGGGTTGGACTACATGATTCTCAGGGTCCCTTCCAAGTCTGATTCTCAGTTTTATAGTGTAGCTCACCTGGTAGATGTTTAGGGTTTGATATCAGAATCTTTGTTATGTCTCTTACTCCAGGATCATTTTGTCTCTAGCTCTGCCTCTTCTCTCAGCCACTGTTTTCTGAATGGCCCTGGTATATGGGATGCAGTGGTGTGGTTTCTTAAAAGGAGGGGAAGGGTAGGATTACACAAGCTTGAAACCTGCCCTCCTCTTATGTAAAGAATCAGTCCACAATGCAAGCTGAGGTTGACAAAGCCACATCATCTGAGAACGTGTAGGGGCAATTGTAATGCGTGATTACCTTGTCTTGGATGTCTGAATCATACTAGGGAGAAGTATCCGATTGTCTGAGACTGCGCTGGCAGCATCTTAAGCACCAGGGGAAAAGAGATAGGATACACAGCGGTCCATGGTGAGGCCTCCTTGTTGCTAATGAACCACCACTAAGTACACTTCAGAAAATGGAGCAGGGGTTAGGGCTGGGTCTCCCATCATGACATTTGTGGGCATTGTGGGGCCTCCTAACACCCTTCTTAGCTCCTATCAGGGTGGAGCCTGACGTCCAATGTTTAATATATTTTAATACAGTGGTACCTTGGTTTACGAACTTAACCCGTTCCGGAAGTCCGTTCTTAAACCAAAGCATTCTTAAACCAAGATGTGCTTTCCCATAGCTGCGAGGGACTCAATTTACAAATGGAACACACTCAACAGGAAGCAGAACATGTTCTTATTCCAAGGCAAAGTTCACAAACCAAAACACCTACTACCGGGTTTGCAGCATTCTTAATCCAAGTTGTTCATAAACTAAGCTGTTCTTAAACCAAGGTACCACTGTATATAAAGGTAAAGGTACAGAGACCCCTGACCATTAGGTCCAGTCATGGCCGACTCTGGGGTTGCAGCGCTCATCTCGCTTTATTGGCCGAGGGAGCCAGCGTACAGCTTCCGGGTCATGTGGCCAGCATAACTAAGCCGCTTCTGGCGAAGCAGAGCAGCACACGGAAACGCTGTTTACCTTCCCGCCGGAGTGGTACCTATTTATCTACTTGCACTTTGACATGCTTTTGAACTGCTAGGTTTGCAGGAGCAGGGACCGAACAATGGGAGCTCACCCCGTCGCGGGGATTCAAACCGCCGACCTTCTGATCGGCAAGTCCTAGGCTCTGTGGTTTAACCCACAGCACCACCCGTGTCCCTTACCACTGTATATACCTTTTTTATTTTAATATACTTTACAGGGTAGGAAATTTTTGGATCTTTAGTTCGGGTGCTTGTTTTTCACAGGGGTTGGGGGGGCTTGGTCTGTGTTTCATGTGTTTTGTGATATCTGGATGGTACATACATTTTTGTATTTGGGTGGGGTTTTCAGGGGACAGGGTTCTGAGCATCACCAGTGTTTTGTTGTTTTCTTATGATTTCTAAATGTGCCCCCATGTCCAAGAAGGCTAGGGACCCTTGGTTTAGAAGATTTCAGGGCATGTTGTGCTTCTAAATTTGCACAGGGTCTAAAGGCAGATCTGGCCTGGGATTCTGCTGAGCCCAATGCCAAATGTAGCTGAGTTGAGTTTGCGCATCACTAAACTCAAACAGCGAAAGCTTTGTCATCATTTATGCCTTTAGAAGGATTGCATTTTCTCTCTCCCTCCTTCCCCACTACTGCTCGCTTTCTCCCTCTGCCCCGCCTCTCTGTTAAGAACCTTAAGCTGCCATAGGAATATTTGCAGATATTTGCCAGACAGCTAATCAAAGAACGAAGGCCTCTCTTTGGAGACTGTAACTGTAATTACAGCAAAGCAGCTGAAATGAGATGTGCAATCAAGCTAAGGATGAATTGAAAAACTCATACAAAAAATAAAATAAACTGTGCTTTTCATCTCTAATCCTATCCTAATAGAGACATGGCAAGGATTCTAAAGATCTGACTGTTTCAGATAACATTCAGAAATGGGCATAGGAGACAGCGCATTTCTCTGTACAGACACACTCACCTTCACACTAGATGACGACTGAAGTAGGCCATTTTCACAATAATAAATAGGTGCTTTCTAATACACACACACACACACACACACACACACACACCATTTATATACATTACAACAATTATTTTACCAAGTTTTAACTTCAGCTTTGACTCCCTTACCCCTCTTTCTGTGGTTCCTTACATTTATTTTTGTCCTTTCCTGCATACTCCAAATTGCCTTAACTTATTCTTTTATTCATGTGTGTGTATTCAAAACGGCAGGTTTTTACAATAATCCTGCCAATGTCTTGATCTGTTTACAGTTTGTTTGTAAATACTCAATAAACCACTTCCATTCCTTTCTTAAAAGTTATTTTTATTCTTCCGGTAAGTTTTGCCATTTCTGCATACTCCCTTAGTTTCTGTATCCAATCTTCTATTGCCAGGACCTCTTTATCCTTCCACTTTTGGGCAAATAACATTCTTGCAGCTGTAGTCGTATACACAAATAAATTTCTATACTTTTTGGGTAGTTCTATTCCTATAGTTCCCAGGAGAAAAGCTTTTGGTGTTTTTCTGTTGTTGTTGTTGTTGTTGTTGTTGTTGTTGTTGTTGTTGTTGTGTGTGTTTTTACAAACGTTATCTTAAACATCTTTTTCAATTCATTACATATCATTTCCCAGTAACCTTATTGCAAGACCACCGCATGTGAAAAAGGTGCCGCCTTTCTCTTTACATTTCCAACACTTATTTGACTTTGATTTATACATTTTTGCCAGTCTACTAGGTGTTAGGTACCATCTATAAAATATTTTCATATAATTTGCTCTTAAACCATAACATGCTGTAAATTTTGCATCCATATTCCATAGTCGCTCCCATGCTTCCATTTCTGCATTATGACCAACATCTATTGCCCAGTGTATCACTGAAGATTTCACCAAACAGGTGCTTTGTAAGTACTCAAAGTGCTTCATAGACACAACTTCAGTATTCTATACAATGATTGTGTAAGGGAGAGCAGTAGTATTATCTTGGAGTGTGCAGCAACCAGAATATTTGGTTCAGACCCCAGTTCAATACTTCATAAAGCAGCCTGCTTCAGCTCAGACCAATTCAGAGGCTGCTTGATTTGGCTTGGGGGTCCAAGTTCATTTCATCCCCCCTCACTATTGGAAAATAAACACTGCAATAACTTCCCCCCTTTTGACAGCAGGGGATGAAATTTGAAAGCATAGTAGTTCCTTCCCCCAGAGGGAATAAGCTCTGCTAAATTGCAGGCAAATAGCTCCAGAGGCTTTGTGCTGGATACTACTAAAATGTGTTTTTTTTTCACTCCTTCCAAAATGGTTCTATTAGTTTAAAAAAAGTTGGTCGGAGTTGGGTGAAATTTGCAGACAATGCCACCCCTTCTGATGGCACGAATCCTGCCAACTTTTAGAAGGGTAGCTGCAGTGGTATTCTGACAACAACAGCTGTTATAATTTTTGGGTGGATGAAAACGGAAGGATTTAATCACCTCTAGTGTTTTGTGGTCTGAAAATTGCAGGCATAAAGAGGGGTGTCTTTGGGTAAGAAACCTATCAGATTACGTACAATTAGGTCCATGGGCTTTTGTGCCATGCACATTTAAAGTTGATTTTTGTGTGAGAACTGAAAGAAATTCACTTTCCACATAAATTTCTTCTGTCTGATTAAAAGCTTGACCTTTCAGTCACAATGGAGCTCTCCATCTCCTCCCCATTTTGATATTCGCTTTCCCTGCCCTCATCACCCATGCTGGAACTATGGCAAGCTTAGATACTTAATCGTCACTTGAAGCAAATGCTTGCCTGCAGCGTTTTCTTAAAAAATAAATACAGTATGTGGTCCATGGGGCAGGCAGAGGCTGGATCAGAGGTGAAGTGCACATATTTATAGTCTAAAATGTATTTTCGGTGTTCAGAACATCAGTTTGCATTCTCTAGGCCAGGCTTCCTCAAATTCTGCCCTCCAGATGTTTTTGGCCTACAACTCCCATGATCCCTAGCTAGCAGGACCAGTGGTCAGGGATGATGGGAATTGTAGTCTCAAAACATCTGGAGGGCTGAGTTTGAGGAAGCCTTCATAAAAGACCAGGAGAACTCCTGTCATGTACATCTCAGACTTCAAATACATGATTTCAATTTGCCTTTTCACTTTTCCAGCTTCCAACAAAAAATAGGGGGGATCCTTTCGAGAGAGATTTCCTCAAGTCTGGGAATCAGTACAGAAATATGGCTCATGTGTGAATTCACACATTCATTCTTTCCTTCAAGGTCACATTTCAAGGCACAAGTTTGCAAGTTCATCAACACAGCTTGTTTCCTTCCCAGCCTTGGGTATTCAGAGCCAATACTACCTTCAGTGGTGGAGGTAGAATATAGCCACCATGCCTAGCTAGCCTCTGCTAGTCGTATCCTTCATGAATTTGTAAATTATGCTATTTGAAGAGGAT